CTGGATGTGGCACTTAGTGCCATGTTCCAGTAACCATGGTGGGTTGGACTCAATGATCCTTGAGGTCTCTTTCAACCCGGATGATTCGATGATTCTAATAAGAGCTAAGACACATGATTGGTCAATAAAAGGATGAAGGATTTGAATTTTTTTTGTTTAAGAGGCAAAAGTTAGACCTGAGTTTTAAAACACATAGAATTTACCAAAAATGTTGAAGGAAAATCTTCCTCAATGTGGCTTTGAAGAGGTTCTAACTGGAAGTCTTAAATTTCAACATGGGAAACACAGATTTTAGAAGTTAAAAAGACCAATCTTTTAAATGCTAAAGTTAGTAAAACACTTGGAACAGATTGTTTTGAGATATTGTGGAATCCCAGTTAAAAGGGTTAAAGCAAATATTTCTTTAGGAATGTGGAAAGATTTTTTCCTGACGTGTGTAGGCAGAGGACAATTTTGCAACTTATGTTTTTCTCTGATGCTAAGACAAGTGCAATATATAATCCCCTTTGAACTTTAGGACTGTTGCCCAGATTGCTCATCAAATGTTGCTTAGACTTTAAAAAATTTGACAGGATCAATTTGCATAATAATTTCTCAAATTATCTAATATTGTCATGATTTTGTCTAACACGTTATTCAGCTTCTGTTCTCATTTCATCTAGAAAAATTAAAATCCAGTTGATTACTCAGAACCCAGCTTGGAGAAGTATATGTACTCTGCATGGCGTAAGAGAATTTTAGCAATATGCTTTTTTTTTAAGATATGGTGCAAAATAATTTTAATGTAGTTTTTTCTTTTGCATATATGCCATCTTTATTCAGAGCCCTTTCTCTCTTTCTCTCTTTCTCTCTTTCTCTCTTTCTCTCTTTCTCTCTTTCTCTCTTTCTCTCTTTCTCTCTTTCTCTCTTTCTCTCTTTCTCTCTTTCTCTCTTTCTCTCTTTCTCTCTTTCTCTCTTTCTCTCTTTCTCTCTTTCTCTCTTTCTCTCTTTCTCTCTTTCTCTCTTTCTCTCTTTCTCTCTTTCTCTCTTTCTCTCTTTCTCTCTTTCTCTCTTTCTCTCTTTCTCTCTTTCTCTCTTTCTCTCTTTCTCTCTTTCTCTCTTTCTCTCTTTCTCTCTTTCTCTCTTTCTCTCTTTCTCTCTTAGGTTTTCTTCTGAGCCATTGCATGAAGTCTAAAATTTTACTTTGAATACAGCTACTTTGATTCTTAAGAGAGCAGATAATGTTGGAAATTAAGGCATAAATGCTCAATGTTTGAGGGAGCTAAGGCATAATTATATGTTGCATTCTTCAGTACTACACTTATTTCATTAGTAGCCATTAGGCTCTTGTCACATCCGAAAAAAATACCAAGTGCAGTAAGAAGGCATGTCCAAGCCATAGATGGTAGATGTTAAGCTGTATGTAATGGAAGTCCTGCTATGGAATACCTAACTAACCGACATGCCAAGAGCAAAGTATGAAAACATTTGTGCCCTCTTCTATTCCTGCTCCTTAAAGGTTGATATAAAGTCATAGTTTTAAAGTATGTTTTAAGAGGCAAGTGCACGTGCTTGAGATTTCTGTTTGTGAAACAACAAACTGTGAGTCCTCAGGGCCGTGACTAGATGGGAGGTGGTGAACCTGCCACAAAGAGGCAATACATCCTAAGTGACTGCTGTAGGCAGCTCAAAAGAGGCTCAAGGGGACCCTAATGTGGGTGACCAGACTCAAAGTATTAAGCAGATGCCTTATTAGATCTAAGTTAGATGTAATGAGTATTATCAAAAGCTGCTGCATTCATGGATGTATGGAAAAAAGGACATCGCAAGGATAATTAGATGTCATCAGAATATTGGTTTAAAATGTTGCTGTGAAGCAGGCTGCTTTGATGTTACAGCCCATTTTAAGTTCTCTTATTTTGACTGGAAGAACCTTGTCATTTTTTTCACCATAGCACCAGTGGACAGTAGATGAGCATTTCGAAGAGGCTGCTAGTGAACTCAGTGGAGTTTCTTTAATGTGTTAGAGTTGTTACTGTGTACTGGTTTTATTTGTTTTACTTGTCCTCTGCCCCATTTGTTGTATGTAATAAAATTGTCAGCATTAGGAATACAGCCTACAATAAGGTTCTTCAGAATTGGGTTCAGTTGGTAGGCTGCATGGAGGTAGTTTTCTGGTTAGCAACAGATTAGCATTTTACAATCCTGTTTATTATGGCAAGGTTTACTGGCAGTTGTTACAAGCATCCTGCAGATCCACTTCTGACTTTCCTGCAGTCTGTGGAATATTTTCTTTCTGATTCTAGACCTCTGTTTTAAATAGGAGCATCTCATCAATGTCCTTACAGCAAGGGTCCTGGTTTCATGCTGTTGTTCCTTTTCAACTAAAGCTTATTCAAGCAAATCAAAGTTCCTCAAAACTATTCATCTATGTGAGAATCACTGGAACAGAAGCTTGCAGCAGCACAGGGCAGCTTTTCAAAGCCAAGCAGCTTTTATTTGTCAGCCAGAAAGAGGTATTTGAGCATCTGTGGGTGACAGTAGGAAAGCCAGAGTCTTGTTGTAGATGCATCTCTGCTTTTCTGATCCCATCAGAACCTCTGTCATTCCAAACAGGGTAGCAAAGCTCTCATCACATTTTCCAGATAGCCTTGATTTTTGATTCAACCTACTGTCACATCTCTTTTCACACACTTGTTTGCAAGTGATTGCTAAAAATTTGTGTGGCAATGTTGATGTTTCCATGTATCTTTAGAAGAATCAAAGATTTGGTGCCTGCTCATGTTTTGACTATTTTTAAGTGATTACACGTAGTAACCCAGGTACTGTGCTCCCTTGTTCATATCATCCTACAGTGATTTGCTGTAAAATCAATGAATGACCTGAATTTTACACAACTTTTATGACAGTAGTAGAGAGTTTCTCTATATCACATGAAACACTCCCAGATCCTTTATTGTTTGTGCAGTTTTTCTTTTATGGGAAGGGATTTGTAGTATAGAATGATTTTGTTACTTTCATAGTCCCCCATTTCCTCCTTATTAATGGTGTTATAAAGGAGTTTCAGTAAGATTGTTGCGTCGTAAATATCCTAACTGGTTTTGGTGTTGTAATTGCCAATCTATGACAAAAAAAGACTATCCCATAGCATCTGTGCATATGGATATAAGAATAATATATAAAACATCCTAATTTAGAGCAGTCCTTTAGTAGACAGGAAAGGCAAAGAAGAAAACTTTTTTTTGTTGAAGTACTAGTATGTTACTTTAGGCCATCTGTTTTTTCAAGTTAAATTATAACAATACATTATCACAGTACAGGGTCCCCGTAGAACTTTTTGGAAACTCTCGACTGTATTTTCTGTATGTTGCCCTTGTTTTTCTCTCTGCAGAGAGATACAATGTAGATAGAAAAAACAAATGCAAAGGGCATTGTTTAATGTGAGCTTTAATTCTTCAATTCTCTGTCATCTTTCAGTAAGTAGTGTCATCTTTGTATCTGGTGCCTTCTATATTTTTGTAGTTGAGGATTATGTTTCACTTGAATTTTCTAGTTCTGTGTAAAATAATAAAAATGACACCTGAGTTTGTGAATTTTTTTTGTTGTAATTAACAGATGAAAATTTTCTGTAAATGTCTGGCTGTTGAGGAGACTATAACTCACATAGCCTTACAGAGGATTTTGAGTCACTGATGTAAAATATGGTGTTGTCAAATGCATTCTAGTTATATGATCTTAAAAAGGTTGGGGTCAGTTTCATTTAGCTACACATGCTTGTATGCTTAGCTGTTATTGCCAAAAGATGAATAAGACTATTTTGAGTCCTGAACCTGCCCTTCTTAAAAAGGGTATGTATGCATGCCAATGCAAAGTAGGATAATAACGTTTTCATAATGTCACATTGCTTTATGTGAATTTAAGCTTTTTCTGTGAAACTGCAGATATAAAAAATCGGATGTCTTGATGCAAAGTAAGTTGAGCTAAGACAAAATTTAGCTGATTCATAGTTAAGTTAGTTAAGGTACAGTACTTTAACTTCTCTTTTTACACTGATAGTCTTATTTAGCTTTTTGAGTAAAAGAATAAAAAAAATTACTTCTGAAGTCAGTATAATGTTTTAAGAGTTGTATTTTAATTGTGTGCTCTCATTCCTTAAAAGAAAAACATTAAATGCAAAAAAATTAGTCATCTTAATCTGTCAGGCTGGCTGTTACATACTTCTGACTTCTTTTTCAGGTTTGTAGGTGGAGAACTGAATATCTGTTACAATGCTGTAGATCGTCATGTAGAGAATGGACAAGGAGACCAAATTGCCATTATATATGACAGTCCTGTAACAAATACCAAAGAGAATATAACATATAAGGAACTTCTTGAACAGGTATGTTTCAGAATGACCTTGTTACTGAAAAGGGGCAGTAAATATTGCACAGCAGGTTTTGAGCTTTCTCTAGTTCCTCTTTTTCTTCTACAGTTTAATACTGGGTTTTTTTCTGGTTGATTAACTTGTCTCTATTTTATTTCATTTTCCCTCCTCTAGTGGTTCTTATTGGAAAGGTAAAGCAAAGTGTTAGTCAAATCACTTGCTCTAGGATCACACTCATGGCAAGAATGATAAAAATGACATAGGTGCCTGGCTGGACTTAATAAGGCTCCTTAGGGGTAACTTGAGCTATGCACTCAGAAAACCTGTTACTTTCAAATTATTCTTATCTTTTTTACTTGTTGCACTGATGTTTAGACCTAAGAGTTATAGTGATGCTGCCATTTTGAAGTTAAGCACCACTAAACTATAAATGTTTGAGAGAAATGTGGCAAGTCTGGGTGTTTAGTGCCCAATCTGTGGGAAACTTTTTTTTAACTCTGTCAAACCTGGAATAGAAATATTGGAGGAAAAAATCATAAATTCTTATTGATGTAAATAATGGCAAGATTAGTTTGTGTTGATATTCTGTACAACTGTACTGTCTTTACACTTGGAAAGTGTAATGAGAATTACAGTTAGTTAAAGTGGAGTTGTATATAGTGCATACAGTTGCCTTCTAATAGTGTTTATATGTTGTTACAGATGAAATCTTCCAAGTGCATAGGAGGAATTTGGAAAATTTAAGACATAAGTCTTCCAGAATTTACTGATTGGTCTTTTTTCTTTACTGATGCCTGTTAGAAAATTAAAATGTGGATAGCAGTGTTGGAGTGAAGCCAGTAAAATGTGGATGTAGCTGAAAGTTTTGTATGTACCTTGGGAGATTCTCCAATTCCAGGAGTGAGATGGCAGGAAAAGATAAGGGAAACAAAAATTCTGTTAGCTATATTACTTCAGCTGTGTAATGTTAAGGAAATATAAAGATACTGGAAAGAAATAAGGAGCAATGGCTTTGTTCATTGAAAAATAAATTTTCTGATTGTGTTGGAAAATATTACCATTTTCAAGTTAAGGCAAATGTTATTGAGTAGGTGCAAAAAATCTGTTTACACCATTGGGTGTATTCTCTAAAAGTGCCTCATTTGCTGAAGGAAATCTCAAGAATTTGAGAGTTGTATTATATGCAGTTATTCATGCTGGACAGATCATGTACACAAACTCAGTATGATTTCTTTCTGTGATTCTTTTCAGTAACAATACACAGTTAACATGTTGAATTCAGTGCCATAATAAATAATTTCTAAGTGCAGTAACGTGACAGGATTAGTAATACCAAATACCAACCCTCCCCTGCCCAAGCCTCTGACAGCATCAAATGCTACAGAAGCATGGATGAGAAAGAAGGGCTTCAGGTTATCAATGGGCTAAGATGTAATTTCTTCTGTAGGAAGGTATTTTCTATAATTATCCATTGTAAAAGCATTGTCTTCAAAAATATCAGTTTATTAGCCATTGTCAGTTTGAATTTGTGTATCTGTCTTGTGCTGCTCATATCTCCTGTATACGACAGTAATCACTCAGATTGGGGGTTTTTTTTAGTAATCTTTCTTAATATTTTTTTACTCTTCTTTCTTTGCCTGCTGCCTTGAAAAATGACTAATTCCTTCTTAGCTAGAAGTAGGGACTTTGATTTCGAGGTATTTTTTTCATGGAGTAGATTTAGAATCAAAACTAGAATGCAGTCAAAAAAATCCTACTGAGACTGACAACCCAATTTTTTATCCTCTTTGGTAAAGCAAGAGTATTTTGTTAAAACAATGTATTAGATTCACTTAATGCTGGATATCCTTATCTTATTTAAATCTCAAATGGCATTCTTCAGTGCATGTCCTAGAAAGATTTAACTGAGATGTCACTGGGGTAGCTATTCAAAAATATCAATATTAGTATTCTTTAAAAGATGAGACTAATCAGGAATTTACAGAGTGGTGTCTTGGGTTTTTCACATTCCACACGAAAGACTTCCAAATGACACTGTGAAAATCTGAAGAAGCAGCTGAAACTTAATCTCCCTTGAGAAGATAGTTATACTGCAGCATGTCAACATCAGCACTGCCTACAGTAATGTATAATTTGGTGCAGCTCAGGCAAATGAGTGAAGCAAAGCCATGCTGAATTAACTGCTGAGGCCCTGACATTTCTACTATATGTGGTTTGTGAGTTTGACTTTGGACTGGGTTTTAGTTTCATCCTTTGAACTGAATGTCCCATAGCTCACTTCAAAGCTGTGTGACCATACCTACCACACAAATCTTTGCTTCCTTGACTTGTGTATTCCTTTAGGA